TGTCTTTATGCAAGTTGTTTGAGGACTCCAGCAAATTCCAGTGTGAACAATTTCATATGTTCACAGATCTATAACTAAGCGGCTTTCGCTGGAGGTCCACGGACATGGGAGAATACAGCTTTTCTTTTCATTTAAAATTTTTAAGATTCATGATAGAGCCTGTATACACAAGAGCGAGAGAGAGAGCGATGAGCATTCTCCCCGGGCTCTGGTCATACCATGATGCCCTCCACAGCCGGCCTGGTCTCGGCCACCTGTCGGGGTGTTCCCCACCTGCTTCTTCGGTGCAGCAGGGCTGCAGTCACTGCACAGGAGCCGGCTTCTCCTAAGCAGTGCATCATCACTGTGCCTCGGAGCCGGCCCAGAGGCCGTCCCAGTCGGATCTAGGGCTGAGTTCTGTCTCAGCCTCTTGCTCTTGTGTCATCCCGAGGCTACTAAGACTCGGTCTCTTGCACATGAAATAACACGCAGCTATAGCGGAAGCTGTACACAAGAAGGTACGTTAAAGCAATCGAATGACAAGAGCTGATCTTATTACCATCCAGTTCACAGAAGTGGTCCTGTGAGTCGTCGTATCTGGCCCAGTCGATGAAAGCTTCTCTACTTTGATGGCTACAGGAAGAGGAGTGAAAAAGAAAACATTAAGTTTGGAGCTGAACATTTTAACACTGTATTCTAGCACAGTGAAGATACATACTCTAAGGTGACTTCTCTATTAGATGACATCACAAAGTCTACTATTAGTGGTTACATAAAGGAGTAAGAGCAACTTGTATAGAAAAACATGGATATTAATTTCCATGAATTATATATATTTCTTAAATTATATTAAATTATTAGCTCCAGTTCGATAATAATTACTTAGACTACAAACACAAAAAACAAGCTCACCTTTTCAGTTGACTTAGAAATTGTAGTAATGTTTGTATTTTTTCCAGAATTTGAAATTATATTTACTTTTTGTTCTTGAGAGATTTTTGCTATAGGGCGTGTACACTTGCTGGAGAGACAGAGAGAGACAGAGAGCGAGAAATCACCCCCAAGGGTGACAGTCATGCCACAGTCCCTTCTCCTCCCCCCCTCAGGATTGTGGGCACACACGCAAAAGGGTCCCGCATCATGCTTTGAGATGCTGTTGAGACTAACAGTGACAATGGAGGGACCAGCAGATGGCACAATGGTTACGTCACTGGACTCACAAGGCCAACCATGGTTTGAGTCCCAGACCTGGAGGCTTGAAATTCATGCCAGGCACATGTGCATGCATGCCCAAAATACTAAGAGGAGAATGATGGAAAAGAACGGGTTGCGGCATGATCATACTCCCAGGGAGTGATTTCCCACTTTCTGTCTCTCTCTCTCTCTCCAACGAGGGCACATGCCCTACAGTAAAAATCTCTTTTAAAAAAAGAAGGAATGTAACATGTATCCAGCAAAAATGGTCCCAAAACATCCAGCTATCAGGGCCAGCAGGTGGTGTGGTGGTTGAGGCCCTGGACTCCCACATGGCCAACCATGGCTCAGGTCCCAGACCTGGCATCTTATTTTCTTTCTCTCTCCCTCTGTCTTTCTCTGGTGAGCTCATGTCCTCACAGCAAAGCTAAAATAATAATAAGTGTTTAGCAGGTGACATGGTTGTTAAGGGCACTGGACTCCCACACGGCTGACCGTGGTTCGAGTGCCTGCTCTCTCTCTCTACCTCTCTCTCTCTCTCTCTCTCTCTCTCTCTCTCTGTCTGTCTCCCTCTCTCACTCTCACTCTAGACCTTTCTGTTCAAATTTTTAAAAATAAAGTTAAATAAAATAATTATTTTTAAAAAAATAATAATAAAATAATTCTTTAGGAAAAAACCAGCTATCAGTAGGATGGAAATACAGCACATTCACACTATGCAATGCCATATATCAACAAAAGGGACTGAGTGCTACGCTGCTCGAGAACATGACTGAATCCCAACTTACGTTAAAGTTTAAAACCCCAACACCGGGCAGCTGGTGGCACGGTAGTTAAGGTGGCTGATCCCACACAGTTGGCTGTGTGGTTCATGTCCCAGACCTGGTGACTTGAAAAACATGCCAGGCACGTGTGTATATATGCCCAAAATTACAAGAGAAAAATGGAAAAGGGATTGCAGCATGGCTACTCTCTCTCTTTCTCTGTCTCTCTCCAGTAAGTATGTGTCCTATAGCAAAGGTTTAAAAGTCAAATACAAAATATGTCCTATATTATTCCATTTATATAAACATCCAACAAGTCTGTCACGTGAACTCAGAATCACACGTAACTCTTACGGAAGACGGTAATGACTGCACAGTACAGCTGTCACACCCTGCTGGGAGCCGAGTACCTCATTCCAGACGCCCTCCAGAGTCAGCTCACTTGGAGAATTAGAATGACCTTTACCCTGAAGAACTGCAGACTGTACAGCTTGTGTGCTATACTTAAACCTACAAACTTAAAACCTTCATAACTTTTGTTCTACATGAAAAAAGCTAAGTAAAATGAAAAGACAAGCCCTAACAACCCACATAGCCCAACCAAACATATTAAAAATCAATTAGTGATTCAATAATGCAGCCCCACAGTGGAGGAGTGACGATGGACAGGAACAGGCGATCGAGCTCAAACCTTGGGATGATTTAGGCTGGCCCAGCTCACAGCTCTGTTTACACTCTCTCCTTAGGGACCTCATTCTGATTACGGTGGTTAAATACCATGTATCTGGGGCCGACCGGTGGCATGGTGGTTGAGGGCGCTGGACTCACACATGGCCGACCGCAGTTCGAGTACCGGACCTGGCGGCTTGCTTTCTCACTTTCCCCCCCTCTCTCTTGCTCTCGCTCCATCCCTCTCTGGTCAAATTAAACAAACAAACAAACAAAGTTAAACAAAATAATTCTTGGGGCAGGCAGACGGTGTGGTGGTTTAAGGGGGTTGAATTCCCACATGGCCAACCATGGTTCAAGTCCCAGACTTGGAGGTTTGCTTTCTCACTTTCCCTCTCTCTTTCATTCTGTCCCTCTCCAGTCAAATTTAAAAAATGAAGAAATAAAGTTAAGTTTAACAATAATTCTTTTTTAAAAAATGTGTCTATGGACTGATCCCAGCCCACCCCAATTCAGACGTAGGTACACAACTGCCTGCTTGGCGTCTCCATTGGCATGGCGTCAGATCGAACAAGCTCAGCTGGATGGTAGTTCCCACCTGACCTGCCCCTCTGGCAGCAGTCCCTGCTCAGTGACTGGCACCTGCATCTTTACAGCTCCAAACCTCGTAGCCAATCACCCACAAAGCTCCGGTCCTTTCCATACTGCATGCCCAACCCTCAACAAACCCTGTCATCTCTGTCTTCATAGTATCTCTGCATCTTCTCACTCAGCACTGCTGCGTCCACAGTAGCACCAGGCTCTCCTACCACAGACCTCACCCCTCTACTCAAATCCCTCCAATGACGTGCACCCCGCTGAGTTTAAAGACATGTCCATTAGAACTGTCTTCGAGGTGCTACAAGATCCACCCACCTCGCCCTGCCCCCAGTCTCTCGTATTCTGACCTGTCTTCTACTGCGTGGCCCCTGGTCACTGGGCTGCACCCACACCAGCCCGCCGGGGGCTCCGGAGGCAGTCTGAGGCACTCGCACACCTGGAACACTCGTCCACCAGGGCACCGCGGCACGACTCACACTTCGCCTTTCTTGGCCATTTCGTCAATGTCACCGAGGTCTTCCCTGACCACGCAGCCTAAAACCTCACTCCTCGTCCTCTCGATCCTTCTCCCCTGCTTGACTGCTTTTACCCGCACAGGCACCACCCTTCCACCTGCTTCTCATACATTTACTCATGTACGACGCTGTCTCCCCCGTGAAGACTAAGCGGCCCGGGGGCAGAAATGCTGTTTGTCATGTATGCGACTGTGTCCCTAGTACCCCGGACAGTGCCTGGCAGAGAGCTGGCATCCACTAGCTGAATGAGAAACTCGAATGTCCAATGAGCAGATGAGAAGCACTCAAACTCACTAGTAAGCACAAAGTATAAATTAAACGAAAGGGAGATGGGATTTCACACCCATCGAACAGTATCAGCTTCTGGCAAGGACAGAGTGTGGGGAAGAAAACAAGCACAGGCGGTGGCAGTGACAGGGACAGCCAGGAAAAGCCACAAAGGACAGTCCTGAGACAGCGATTTCACTTCCCGGGAAACACACTCAGGAACGCTCAACCGGAACCCCCTCAGCATAACCGGCACAAGCGGTGATTGTCAGCTAAAAGGACGGAGCTAACCTCTCTATTTCCACAGGTAGATCTAGGAAGGAAGTGCACAGTAAAAAGTTGCAGAATGTTAAATACAGCAACATATCTATTTATATAAAGGGAGAGTAAAACCAAATACACGGGGGAACCAGCAGTTAGCGTAATGGCTATGTCGCTGGACTCCCACGTAGTCAACCGCGGTTCGTGTCCCGGACCCGGAGGCTTAAAACTCACGCCAGGCGCGTGTGCGTGCGTGCCCAGGATCCCAAGAGGAGGATGGAGGAGAAGGGATTGCGGCGTGACCATCCCCCCTGGGGGGGTGATTTCTCGCTTTCTGCCTCTATGTCTCTCTTTGTCTGTCTGGCGAGCGCACTCGCCCTACAGTGAAAATCTCTCAAAAAAAAAAAAAAAAGAAAAAAACAAATACAGAAATGCAACTCTGTATTACTTATAAATATAAACCTATGTATGTTTAAAACTAAGAGCGGAATGAACATATACCAAATTGATGATGTGTCTAAGGACAAAAGGAAGAAAACAGGATTAGGGAGTAGAACATAGAGATTTTTAATTTATCTGTGGTATTTTTTGTTTCTTAAAAAACATGTTAGAGGGACCAGCAGATGCTGTAATGCTTATATCATTGGACTCCCACATAGTCGACCATGGTTCGAGTCCTAGACTCAGCAGCTTAAAACTCACGCCAGTGGTGTGCATGCGTGCCCCAAAACTCGAGAGGTAAATGGAGGAGAAGGGACTGCAGTGTTGCCATCACCCCAGGGGATAATTTCTCTCTGTTGGCCCTTCCAGAAAGTGCATGCGCACGATAGCAAAAATTTATCTCTTAAAGAAAAATAAATGAATAAAGGTAGAAAATGTTACCATTTATTTATTTGAAAGGAAGGATAAAAAGTGTTTATGTTAACTCTATAATTTTCCTATATTAAAACTCTTCTTCAATAAGTAATAGACTGCTAAATTTATTATGAATTCACTAGCAGTTATAGTGCATAAGTACAAGTCTAAACAAATGAAAATTAAAAAGAATCTCTGCAATTTTCCATTCCTAACTATAGACTATGTTAAATCTGAGGCCACTTACAAATTATTTACATTGGCCTCCAAAACAGGTTTTGGATTAAGAGTAAGAAAGAAAGTCAATAGGAAAAAAAAACAGATTGGTCCCGGCCACAGCGGCACACACTGCTGACTGCACCACCACAGGCTGGGCCGCATCAGAGACTTAGATTTGATTCCTGGCTCAATCCAAGGCCTGGAAATCCCCACGTGGGAGGCTAAGGCAGGAGGATCGCAACACAGCAAGACTCATCTTCAAAGAAAGAAAGTTGTGGGACCAGCAGTTGACTTAATGGCTATATTGCTGGACTCCCATGTAGTCGACCGTGGTTCGAGGCCCGGACCCGGTGGCTTAAACTCACATCAGGCACATATGCGTGCATGCCCAAGATCCCAAGAGGAGAATGGAGGAGAAGGGTTTGCGGGGTGTGGCCATCGCCCCTGGGGGGTGATTTCTCACTTTTTGTCTCTCTGTCTCTGTCTTTCTGGCAAGTGCACACGTCCTATAGCAAAAACCTCTCCAAAAAAAAAAGAAAGAAATTTGTGAAAATTAACCCTTATAACAATAACAACCTTGGGACCAGCAGTTGGCATAATGGCTATGTCCTGGACTCCAATGTAGTTGACCATGGTTCGAGTCCTGGACCCAGTGGCTTCAAGTCACGCCAGGAGTGTGTGTGAGTGTGCCCAAGATCCCGAGAGGAGAATGGAGGAGAAGGGATTGCGGCATGGTGGGTGATTTCTAGCTTCCTCCCTCCTTTCCTCTCCTTCTCCCTCTCCCTCTCTCTCACTGGCGAGTGCACACGCACTATAGCAAAAACCTCTCAAAAAAAATAGCAACCTTTATCACATTCAAAATGTTAACAATCGAACTGAATCATTATTTATAAAAGATTGAGAGGTTAAAGTCCCCCTTCTCATAATAAGCAGGAAGAATAAGTCCTGCTATCTGAACAATCTTCTAAATTTCTACTTTTCTACAAATTTACTACTGATAACCATTCTAGAAACTTAAGGACAAGAAGAGACAGAATATAAAATTTATGACAAAAATAATTTTTCTCCCTTTGAAAACTATATGAGCTGAAATTAATGGCGAGACTGGTTTACAAAAATCACAAGAAAAGCAGACGGCTGCCGGTGTAACCCCGCACGGGGGTGTGTTCCGGTGTAACCCGGCACGGGAGTGTGTTCCAGTGTAACCCCGCACGGGAGTGTGTTCCGGTGTAAGTCCCGCACGGGAGTGTGTTCGGGTGTAAGTCCCGCACGGGAGTGTGCTCCAGTGTAACCCCGCACGGGGGTGTGTTCCGGTGTAACCCCGCACGGGAGTGTGTTCCTGTGTAACCCCGCACGGGAGTGTGTTCGGGTGTAAATCCCGCACGGGAGTGTGTTCCTGTGTAAGTCCGCACGGGAGTGTGTTCGGGTGTAAGTCCCGCACGGGAGTGTGTTCCTGTGTAACCCCGCACGGGAGTGTGCTCCGGTGTAAATCCCGCACGGGAGTGTGTTCCTGTGTAAGTCCACACGGGAGTGTGTTCGGGTGTAAGTCCCGCACAGGAGTGTGTTCGGGTGTAACCCCGCACGGGAGTGTGTTCGGGTGTAAGTCCCGCACGGGAGTAAGTCCCGCACGGGAGTGTGCTCCGGTGTAAGTCCCGCACGGGAGTGTGTTCCGACGCCACCGCGGCCTCACTTGCCTCAGCGTGCTGTTGACCGCTCCCAGCTTGCTCGCCTGCTCGCAGTCTTGGAGCTCGCGGGTGCTGTTCGCCACTCTGGAGTACTGCAAGGAGTTTCACAGTGAGAAATCTGGGGACCAGGCTGGCCCTGCTCTTTATTCCAGCCTCTGCTGGCAGCACGACCAATCTGCCAGTGAGCAGAGATGGGCTCCACGTGGCCCTACCCGGGATTACGTCCCTAACAGCACAGTACAAAACCGGATCCCACATGCCGTTTGGATCCTGGGCCCAGTGGCTTGTGACACACACCAGACGCATGCTGCGCGTGCCCGGAATCCCGACGGCGTGGGACACAGGGGAAGGGCCACCTCCTCGCTTGCTCTCACTTGCTGGTGATCACATGGGCCCACCGGAACGAGAAGAATGCATGAAACAATCCCTAACACACCGAAGAAGTACAAATGAAAATGAGGTACAAATTTTCGCCTACTAAATAAGACACTAAACTTTAACCAGCACTGGTGTGTTGGTGATGGTGTCAACCAAGAAACCCCCTTGAGAAAGAGCCGACAGGTCAGCTCCAGACGTGTACTCCTGTGCAGGGATCCCCTAGCCAGCAGTACCCGTGTGTGAGAGCCCACATCCCAGGGCGAGATGGGAAAGGGCACGGCCACTCAAGAAAGCCACTTGGTTCCACCTCAGAGTGCTCAACAGGCACAGCCCTTGGTCCAGCAATGCAGCTTGAGATGCAGACAGAGAAACTCCTATGTGTGTCGTACAGTAAGACGGCAAACAGAACTGCTAGGGCATCACTGTGTGAGGTGGGAAACCGTGGTGGAACTGAGAGGAACGGCCAGCGTGCGCTATAGTCACAGCCGACCACTACACAGCTCAGGGCAGGGAATAGGAGCCACCTCACCAACAGGAGGGCATTTCAAAAGCATAAGACTATGGCACCAGCAGTTAGCGTAATGGCTATGTCGCTGGACTCCCATGTAGTTGACTGCGGTTCGCGTCCTGGACCCGGTGGCTTAAAACTCACGCCAGGCGCGTGTGCGTGCGTGCCCAAGATCCTGAGAGGAGAATGGAGGAGAAGGGATTGCAGTGTGACCATCGCCCCGGGGGCTGATTTCTCGCTTTCTGTCTCTCTGTCTCTCTCTGTCTGTCTGGCGAGCGCACGCGCCCTATAGTGAAAAAACCTCTCCAAAAAAAAAAAAAATGGTTTTTAACCTAAAGAAATAAGAAGTACAATATTGTATATTTAAAAAGTTTTAAGCAAAATAACCTGTGTATTACTTGAAGCTAGGTATGCTATGGAAGTACAAGGTACATAACTTGTAGATATGCATGCAACAAGATTGTAAAACCAATGCAGGACGGGCTAGCCCCCTGGCCTAGTGGTTGAGGGAACCAGATTCCACCTGGCTGACCATGGTCTGAATCCCGGCTCCAGTGGCCTGAAAACCATGCTGGGCACCTGTGTGTGTGCTCCAAATCCCAACGGGATGGAAAAGTGGAGGCGAAGGGATTGAGGCATGACCACTCCTCAGTGGGGTGCTTTCTCCCTCCCTCCTCCTGTCTCCGGTGAGTGTGTTGTACCCCCTGACAACTATACACACACAGAATACTTGAGAAAAATGGTTAACTCGGGAGGAAGGAGAATGGGGTTGGGAAGGATTCAACTGGTTTTTTCTTTATGTTTTTTATTTATTTATTGTGTACCTGAAACAAAAATAAACATGAGAAAGTAAGCACGAGCAACCGACTACATAGGAGAGAGCGAGACAGAATGGAGAGAGGACGCACTGGAAGGCGAAGCGAGGGGGCGCTGAGCCTCGTGATGAACGTATGACAGCGAGAAACGAGAAGCAGACTGTTTTCTAAAAACCTGAGTGGCAAAAAAGAGAAAAGTCTATTTTTTAAGATTACCTAGTTATTTCTTTCATGACAAAGACAGACACACACAGAAACACACAGGCACCAGCAGAGTCTTCAGGCCACGACCCACCCCATCCTCAGCAGCCCAGGTAACAGGCGTGCTTGCTACCCCTGCATGTACAGGGACACCTTGGGATGTGAACCCAGAACCATGTGGGTTCAACACAACAAAGTACTGCATCATCAATGTGCCACTTCGGCTGGTCCAAAAGGGTCATCACTAATAAATACTTCAATCCCATTTGAAAGTACCCTACTCAAAGTACCTTAATTACTCTATATGATGCCATCCTGAATCTTACGGACTAACCGGGCACAAGACTGCAAATCCCACGTGGCCGATGCCTGTAGAGCAGGCAGCCTAACACGGTAGTTACACGACAGGGTTCTCCTAGAGGCTCCCTGAACGGAACTGCAGCGATTTCAGGGAAACTAGGGATGTGTGACAACTGCTGGCTGTGAGAACTAGGGATTTGGAAATCCAAGGCAAAATGTATCTATTCCCAACTGATCACATTACAGTTCCCGCCTCGGCCACCGCCATCATATTAAGGAGATGCGGCTCACCTTGTTAGAAGGCCCAGCTTTGATTCCAACCGGGATTTTACTCTGAAAAAAAGAAAAACAAAAATTTAAAAAGTAATCTTCGTATTTTAGAGATTTCTTTGTATCAAATTGCTCTAAATTCACATAGTATTTTATCCTATAGGGAACACATATACATTCATTCACATTGTATCATCACACTATCTCTTGAAGTAGAAAGTAAAGTTTTCCCAATTTACAGACTTATACATCAAAGTACAAAACACTGAATGACGTATACAAAATTATCTCTAATAACCCCAGTATAATATTTCTTTATAACTTATATAGATTTAAGGTTTTTAAAAAGTGATAGTCATTTTTCCTATAAACTTTCTTACTGCAGAAAAAGCAGCACTTAGAAGTTCAAAATTATTTAAAATATATTATTCCAAATGTTAACAGATGTTGTTAGTGAGATACTGGCCATGTAGAGACACTGGCACCGTGGCTGGTACAGGCAACATCAAACTTCTCAAAGAACAGAATACAGCTGGTTACTGCCACCAACACAAGTCATGTAAAGCAGTCTGGACATTAGAAAGCTGAGTGACCCTTGTGATTAAGTTAGACCTCAAATTATAGAATGCAAATTGCATCACAAGTTTGGGTACAACATCAAATGCCTATTGTATACTCCCCCAAAGAGAGACTGACACAAAAACCCTCACATTACTTGAAGAATCAACAGAAGAGTTTTTCTTCTGGAAAGAAGGGAAGGAACGGGGCTAGAAGGAAACAGACTGGGATCTTTAAATGTACATGTGTCTTAGGCTTTTCTAAAAGTCTGAGAGAAAGCAAGGTTTCCCACATTATTTTATTTTTATTTCTTTGTTATACCTCAGGACAGGGTTCCACGTGACAGTCTTTTATTGAACAGTGGCCATCTTCAGCCCAGAAAGGACATGGTCGCTTCAGATTAACCTTGAGGGAGAGAATACGTAAACATGAGCAAGCGTGTATTGTAGTTACAGAAGGTCTCCAAGTATCACTCTGCCGAGCACCCACGAAAATGTGGTGAATAAGGAGGAAAAGGTGGGGCCAGCAGGTGGCATGGTGGCTAAGATGCTGGTTTCCCACATGGCTGACCACGGTTCAAGTCCCAGACCCAGCAACTTAAAAATCATGTCCTGTGTGTGTGTGTGTGTGTGTGTGTGTGTTTGTGTGTGTGTGTGTGTGTGTGTGTGTGTGTGTGCTGGCTGTGAGAACTAGGGATTTGGAAATCCAAGGCAAAATGTATCTATTCCCAACTGATCACATTACAGTTCCCGCCTCGGCCACCGCCATCATATTAAGGAGATGCGGCTCACCTTGTTAGAAGGCCCAGCTTTGATTCCAACCGGGATTTTACTCTGAAAAAAAGAAAAACAAAAATTTAAAAAGTAATCTTCGTATTTTAGAGATTTCTTTGTATCAAATTGCTCTAAATTCACATAGTATTTTATCCTATAGGGAACACATATACATTCATTCACATTGTATCATCACACTATCTCTTGAAGTAGAAAGTAAAGTTTTCCCAATTTACAGACTTATACATCAAAGTACAAAACACTGAATGACGTATACAAAATTATCTCTAATAACCCCAGTATAATATTTCTTTATAACTTATATAGATTTAAGGTTTTTAAAAAGTGATAGTCATTTTTCCTATAAACTTTCTTACTGCAGAAAAAGCAGCACTTAGAAGTTCAAAATTATTTAAAATATATTATTCCAAATGTTAACAGATGTTGTTAGTGAGATACTGGCCATGTAGAGACACTGGCACCGTGGCTGGTACAGGCAACATCAAACTTCTCAAAGAACAGAATACAGCTGGTTACTGCCACCAACACAAGTCATGTAAAGCAGTCTGGACATTAGAAAGCTGAGTGACCCTTGTGATTAAGTTAGACCTCAAATTATAGAATGCAAATTGCATCACAAGTTTGGGTACAACATCAAATGCCTATTGTATACTCCCCCAAAGAGAGACTGACACAAAAACCCTCACATTACTTGAAGAATCAACAGAAGAGTTTTTCTTCTGGAAAGAAGGGAAGGAACGGGGCTAGAAGGAAACAGACTGGGATCTTTAAATGTACATGTGTCTTAGGCTTTTCTAAAAGTCTGAGAGAAAGCAAGGTTTCCCACATTATTTTATTTTTATTTCTTTGTTATACCTCAGGACAGGGTTCCACGTGACAGTCTTTTATTGAACAGTGGCCATCTTCAGCCCAGAAAGGACATGGTCGCTTCAGATTAACCTTGAGGGAGAGAATACGTAAACATGAGCAAGCGTGTATTGTAGTTACAGAAGGTCTCCAAGTATCACTCTGCCGAGCACCCACGAAAATGTGGTGAATAAGGAGGAAAAGGTGGGGCCAGCAGGTGGCATGGTGGCTAAGATGCTGGTTTCCCACATGGCTGACCACGGTTCAAGTCCCAGACCCAGCAACTTAAAAATCATGTCCTGTGTGTGTGTGTGTGTGTGTGTGTGTGTTTGTGTGTGTGTGTGTGTGTGTGTGTGTGTGTGTTATACCCAGAATCCTGGTAGGAGAGTGGAAGAAAAGGGACTGCAGTGTGGCCGTCCCTTGTGGGGATGGTTTCTCACTGTCCCTCTCACACTCTCTGTCTGGCAAGTGCATATAGCCTACAGCAAACATCTGAAAAAAATAAAGGAAGAAAAAGAAAAGGAAGAAGAAAATAAATAAGAAAAGTAGAATTCTGGGACATAGTTTAGAATTTCAAGTGGCTGCAGTTCCTTAGAAATCCAAATACAATACTAATTTTAAAAACAAGTGGCTGCGATCAGTCCTCTGACACTTGAAGAAAGGAACGGAGCTCGAGGTCACTGCTCGTGCACCAGTGGGTGTCTCCAGCCCCAGGTCCCCTGCCCCTCACGGAGCACCTGCTACAACTCAGGCTTGGGACAGGGAGAGCCCCCAACCCAACCTCCTGAAGGAGATGGGACCAAACGCGGGCATCCTCATCCCCGCCGCGAAGGGAACCCCGACTTCCTAATAGTGGGCTTGGTGGCCTCTGAGGCCGAAATAGCCAGGACAGGTGAGAGTGGGAGGGAGTGTGTATCTGGGTGAGGCAGCGCAAAGTGTGGGCAGCTCTGGGGCCTGAGACCACCAGGCTTGCTGATGCCCACCGGAGCCGAGGCAGGCCGGCACAGAAGCGGGGCAGTGTAGGCAAGGAAGAGGTCAGGCAGGCACTGAGCCAGGGTAAAATTCCTGGGTTCTCATATTCCAGACCCCAGGGGGAGATAGCAGTTCATAGGACCTGTGAGGGACTGCCCACGCCACAAAACCAGGGCTGTCCTCACATCAGCCATGAACAACTGTGGCTTTTGCCAGAAAGTGGCTGAACGTGGAAGATGAACTGCTGAGTGGGGCAAGCCAGGCTATGAAGGAGAAGCACTGTGTGTCCCCACTTAATATATACCGAGTGTCTGCACTCTACGACTGAAAATGATCGGCTATTGAAAATGATCGACTAAAGGATACAAAAACACGGTAAACGGATGTAAATACAGATATGGTGTGTGTGAAAGAGTAGGTTTTGAGGAAGAACAATTAGAAGAAAAATGGGGAGGAAAAGCAGTAAGGGACAAAGAAAGGTGCCAATTTCTGTTAAAGATATATGATAGTTTAGTCAACTGGACTAGGGAGAAATGTTCACATGTTAAAATATTCGCTTAGTAAACTAAATAATGTGATTGACTGTATAAAAGAAAATGAAATTAAAAATAAAGAAAAAAATCTCTTCAAAAAACATATCAAAACTTATAGGATGTGGCAAAAGAATTCCTGAGCAGGAAATTTATAGCGATAAACACCTTCATCAAAAAAGAGATTACAGACAACCAAATGCTGCCACTGAACAGTACTAGAGAAAGAATACACCTAAGCCCGAACTCCGCAGAAGAAAGGCGATACCAAGGGTCAGAGCAGAGACAGGAAAAACAGAGACTAGAAAAACAGAAAAGATAACAAAACTAGGTAAAATGTCCATTCGGCAATCTACAGATTCAGTGGGGTCCCTATCAAAATTCCAATGCCTGGACAAGCAGATGGCATAATGGTTATGTCGCTGGACTTCCATGTAGTCAACCATGTTCAAGTCCTAGACCCGGCAGTTTAAAACTCATCCCAGGTATGTGTGCATGCACGCCCAAAATCCCAAGAGAAGAATGAAGAAGAGGCTGCAGTATGGCCAGTCCCCCTGAGGGTGGTTTCTCACTTTCTGTCTCTGTCTCTCTAGTGAGTGCATGTAACCTATGACAAAAATCTAAAAAAAATTAAATTCCAGTATCTCTTTTCACAGAAATAAAACAATACTGACATTCATGAACAACCAGCAAGGCTCCAAATACCCAAGGCAATCTTGACCAAAAAGAACACAGCTAAAGGCATCACACTCCTTGACTTCAAAATGCATTATGAAGTTATTACAACCAAAGAAGCGTGGCCTTAGCATAAAACAGACACATAAACCAAAGAAGCAGAATAAAAAGCCCAGAAATAACCCTAAGAATTCATGACGAAGGTGCCGAGGACACACGGAAGGACAGGCACTATTGCACAGTGCTAAGACACTAGATGCCCGAACAGAGAAGGGCACCAGAGACTTATCTCCACCACATAACACAATCAACTGAAAGTGGGTAAAAGGCTTCCACTTAAGACCTGGAACCATAACGTGGCTAGAAGAGCACACGAAGGGAAAGCTGCACTGTCTCGACTAGGACTGCCAGAGCACAGACAGCAAAAGCAAAAGCAGCTCAAGGGACGGCATCAAACCAGAACCCTCTGCACGCAAAAACAGAAGGAAGATGGAGCCACAGGTTGGAAGAAAATATTTGCAAGCCATGTATCTGATAAGGGCTAGTAACCAAAATATTTAAGAGAGCCAGACCACAGGGCAGGCGGCGTGGTGAAGGGCGTGGCCAACCACGGTTCAAGTCCCAGACCTGGTGGGCTGCTTTCTCCCTTTCCCTTTCTCTCTTTCTGTCTCCGGTCAAATTAAAAATAACAACAACAAATATAATTAAATAAAGAAATAATTCTTTAAAAGAGAGAGAGAGCGATCCCGCATGGCTGAGTATGGTTTGAATCCTAGCCCTGCACCAGAAAAATATACCGGGCCCACTGGTGTGTGCCCAGTACCCTCAATGTAGGAGGAAGCGCTGCAGGTGACCACATCGTATCGAAGGACGCTTTCTCACTCTCTACCACATAGTTGGCCGTGGTTCGAGTCCCAGACCCAGCAGCTTGAAACACACACTAAGCACATGTGTGTGCATGCCCAAGATCCTGAGAGAACAGAGGAGAAGGGACTGCAGCGTGGCCATCCCCCTGGGGGGTGATTTCTCACTTTCTCTCTGTTTAGTAAATGCACACGCCCTATAGCAAAAATCTCTCTCAAAAAATAATGAAAATGTGATATACACACCACCACACACTACAGAGCTTCAGAAAGATGGAGAAAGGTGGAAAGTCTACCGTCTGCAACAAGGACAGAGCAAGGGCATTATGCTAAGTGAGATAGCAGGCACAGAGAGATAGGTACCACAAGACCTCACCTATGTGTGTAAAAACAGTAGAAAGTGGTTGGTAGAGGCTGGCGGGGGACTTTTTTGGGAAAGAGAAGAAATAGATCAAATGTACCAAGACTCAGTTGGATGGGAGGAAGACGCTTTAGTGCTTCGCCACACAGCATGGTGACAGCGTCAGTAATCGTGAGTGGAACTCATACTGCGGAGAGTAAACTTGTATGTTTTCACCACAGAAAAATAAACTGCTCCCAGACCTGGAGACTAGCTTTCTTACATTCTCTCTGCCTCTCTCTCTTGCTGTCTCTTTCTAGTCAAATTAAATAAATAAATTACATACATAATATTATAATAATAAATTAAATTAAATTTGGGACCAGCAGTTGGCACAGACTTGGCAGGGTTTCTAAGCCACATAGATGACTGCAGTTTGTTAGAATTGTTTTATTTCAATTTATTATTATTATTTTTTAATTTGACTAGAGAGAGAGAGGGAAAGTGAAAAAGCAAGCCACCAGGTCCAGGCCTCAAACCATGGTCAGCCCCGTAGGAGTCCAGAACCTGTAACCACCATGACACCTGCCTGCACCTTCGCCGCCACCTTTTAATGCTCTCTCCACCAGCCCTTACACCTGTACGGTTTATTTTAAACCTCATAGGCACAGTGCCCCTTGAAATTGTACCCAGCTCTCCTACTCGTGTCTTCTGTGGCCTGCTCCCCACGCCCTGCGCCCCTCCTCTGGGTCCCTGGCCTCCTGGACTGCTCAAACACATCACACATAAGCGGTCTGAGGCCTCTGCTCTCGCTGCTTCCTCTTTCTTCCCCAGGTACCCACAGAGCTTGCTTCCTCACTCCTGCAAGTCTTCCTCAAGTGACACCTTCTAGTTTGCTGCTTTAGGCCAATTTGTTTTACAGCAATAGCTAACACCTGGAGTAAGGACAGCCCGTCTCAGATGCCTAACTGCTCAGAGCACCCTTCGGGAGTCATGGGAGGGCGATACCCCAGTGCCCAGAAATGTCACAGACATCAGCTGAAGGGAGCCACCTTGCCCTAGGGTGCACTGCCTTTCCATGGCACCCCTCCTCTAATGACTGCTCCATGTGGGTAGAGGCCCATCCCCCCAGTGGAGAGATCTCTGAAGGGTTATCCTGTCTCTGAATTCTCCAGAGTCACCTGGGTTTCCCGAGGCTGCGTCCCGGCCTCACTTCTGCCTCTGCCCAAACCTGACGTCCTCCCTGAACTGCCATCCCAAGCAGGCCCTAATGAACTTCCTGCACACTGAGCCCTGCCTGGGAGTCTGCCTCCCAGGAACCTACCCTGGGCAGCCCGTCCAGCTCTAGGAAAATGAAGCATGGTTATGAGCATCACATCAAGTTGACACATGAACTCAGGGAAGATGGACATCTTTGTGCTACAAAGGCTCTGTCCTTTGTTCAGGCCGACTTCTGTGTCTTTCAGGGGTGTTCCCTCTAAGCTAACACGTTTCTGACACATTTATTACTATCTATGTCAATGTTTGCCTTAGTAATTTAGGTGGAGTTTTATTTTCCATTATATCTCCTGATTATTGCTTGAACTTAAGTTTACACCCTGCTATCTGCATGTATTTTGTATTTTTTTTCTGACTGATTCTTTTTTCTAGGTACAATTTTGTCATCTATAAGAGGAAACAGTTTTACTTACTCTTTTGAAATGTTGAGGCTCCGACTCTTTTTCCTGACTGCATCAGCTAAGACCTCCAATGATAATGGGGATGGGTTACCCTCTCCCTGGCTCCTGAACCACATGGGGGCTCCCTAGCATACCCCCTCGCTGCCTATGCCGATACTAGGATTAAAATCATGCTAAGAAATTGGGGGGCTTCCGCCCCTGCGCAGCCACGCGCCGGGAACGGCCTGGCCTCCCTGGCCTCTCTGGCCTCTCTGGCCTCCCTGGCGCTGGATGGCCCGGAGGCCGAAAACAAGGTTGAAGAACTTGCAACTTGAGAAGATGACAGTTACCAGCCCTGCATTACCTCAGGGGAAAACAAGAACTACTCTGCCATTCTTAAGGAAGCCAGATACCCAAGGACAACTCACACTGCAGATCCCCACAACACCATTCCTGGTAACTACAAGATGACTGCTGTGCCGCATCAGCTGATAATCATCCCTGCGTACCAGAACTGCTTTCCTGAAACTGCATTCCCTGGAGACTCACCTACACTTGCGGATCTGCAGGAGACCCTCCCTTAATCCAACCCTGAGTGGAGTTTATGCTCCCTATTGCCAAAAACTTTATGAGCTGATGGTTGGAACTCGTGGCCTCTCTCCCTTTACTTGTATGTATCACTTTTTCAGTAACTCTTCTGGAAGACAACTGTATATAGCAGAGATAGTGTAATGGGAGAGTGGGAAAGGGCAGAGGGACAAACATAGGGGAAAAAAAGAGGAAGAGAAAAAAAACATATATATATATACATAAGCATGAAAGTAGAAATGGAATATTATTGATGATAACATGCTTGATTAAGTCACTATGCAGACTATTCTAGATGGGAAATTACATTTAGTACGCTGTGATGATGCTCAGGGAATGAAGGTTAGGTAACAAAACAAAACAAAACAAAACAGTAAAACTATTTGTACCATTAAAAAAAAATAAAAAAGGATATTTGATGGCTGCAGTGAGTGGTATGGGCCCAGGGGACAATGTGGGAGGAGGATGGGTCATAACAGAGGGAGGGGGATGGGGAATCTAGGATGGTAAAACAAAAGGCAAGGTATGCAGGACACAAGAACTGGGAAATTATTTGCTGAGAACATATATGTTGACGTGCTTGATTGAGCCAATGCACAGTGTATTTTGGATGGAAAATTCATTTGTGTGTTGTGATGGGAAAAAAAAATTATAATAAAAAATAAACTATAAAAAAAAGAGAGAAGAGGATAGAGAAAGATAGCAAGTGAACAATAGAGAGGATGTTAGTGAGAAACAGATATGGTTTATTATCTGTTGATGACGTGTATAGTATTCTCAACTGGACTGGTCTGGGAAGTATTTCATGATGGGTAAAGTCTTTTAACAAGCAAAATGAGAAATAGTGATTGACTGTTTTAAAAAATTATAATAATAATAATTATTGGGAAATGCATGGAAAAGACATTGAATGATAAAGCGGGGAGATTGATGTCTCTGTATTGACTGACATGCATGGCATTCCCTTTTGAAAAAGCAATGGAAGTCAATGTAAAGTTATATGTAATCCAATGTAATATAAAGAAGATTATGATGATAATATAAATAAAAAAAAACCATGCTAAGATATTGTCCACTGCCACCACCCCGGGATGTGACTTCTTGCTTTCTGTCTCTCTCTCGGCAAACACACATACCCTACAGCAGAAGTCTCTCAAAAAAATAAATAAAAAGAAAGAAATTATCTATCATTCTTACTTTGTTAAACTTTTGTTTAATTCAGGGGCACATGTTGAATTCTGTTGAAAATCTAGAAAAACCATCCTTGCATTCAGGAATAAAACCTACTTGGTCATGATAGAGATGGAGAGATAAATGCCAAATATATAAAATACAAACATACACAACACCCTTGACTCATCTCTACTCTCACACTTGACACTCGATCCATCAGAAAAGCTATTTGGTGTTACTTTTTTATTTTTAAGAGATACTTTTGCTATAGGGCATGTGTACTCTCCAGAGAGACAGAGAGAGACAGAAAGCAAGAAATCACCCCCCCTGGGGGGGGATGGCCCCACCGCAATCCCTTCTCCTCCATTCTCCTCTTGGGATCTTAGGCATGCATGCACACATGCCCAGCTTGAGTTTTAAGCCACCAGGTCCAGGACTCGAACTGCAGACAACTATGTGGGAGTCCAGCAACATTAACTATTATTCCAACTGCTGGTCCCGGTCTTACCTTTTATAAACAACCCTAATTGAATCATTTTCCACCTCTTCCAACTCTAGCACCCAACTCCAAATCTTACCATCTTTATCCAGACTCCCACGACAGCCTCCTGAGTTATTTCTGTCTGCTATTTAATATCCTTACACTCTATTTTACACGTAAGTCCCTCCAACAGGTTCTTAATGTGCTCAGGGACCAGCAGTTCGCATAATGGCCATGTCGCTAGACTCCCATGTGTCGCCCGCAGTTCGAGTCCCAGACCCGGTGGCTTAAACTCACAACGGGTGCATGTGCGTGTGTGCCCAAGATTCCAAGAGGAGAATGGAGGAGAAAGGATTGTGGCATGGCCATCCCCCCTGGGGGGTGATTTCTCGCTTTCTGTCTCTCTGTCTCTGTCTGTCTGGTGAGCACACGCACCCTATAGCAAAAATCTCTCAAAAAATAAGAAGGGGAGGGGCAGCAGTTAGCGTAATGGCATAGTCGACCGCGGTTCGCGTCCCGGACCTGGCGGCTTAAAACTCCTGCAGGCACATGTGCGTGCGTGCCCAAGACCCCAAGAGGAGAATGGAGGAAAAGGGACTGCGGTGTGGCCATCCCCCCTGGGGGGTGCTTTCTCATTTTCTGTCTTTCTGTCTCTGGCTGGCTGGCTGGCTGGCGAGCGCACGCGCCCTATGGCAAAAACCTCTCCCCCCCCAAAAAAAAAAAAACTGTGCTCAGGATAAAACCCAGCACCCTAATCCGGTCAATGAGACCCTACTTCTGTTTTAATCTGGCCCCTTCCCATCTTGTCAACTCTCCTTGCTCCCTTTCCTCTCACCATACCAGCTTCCGCCCTGCCCTGCACACACAGTAAGCTTCCTCTGCGTGGCCTCTCCCTGGGTCTCCTCCTTACTGTGTCACGAGAACATACATGCATGTGTACAGTTTAACCTCTTCCTTAGTCTCCCTTCTGTGCTAATATATGCAGAGTTTATGGGAGTAAATTTCTTCCTGTATGCTTCACTGGCTGACGGAAGTGACACCCAAATATCCTAGACGAGGGGATGAACGTGGCCGTCCTCTTTGGAGGAGGGTGTGCGTACGTCCTGGCCACACAGGGACAGTTCCAGGGTGTGGGCTGGAGCATTTTAAAACTACATGTATAAGAAAAGATGAGACTATACTGGGTAGCCAAGGGAGACACTGTTATTCTTACCTATCCAATGTCTATTTTTCATTCTTCTGGAAAAGTTTCATTTCCCCTCGAGAAACACGATCTCATGCAAATGGGACTCTCGACCAAAGCGTCCTTGCCTCTTTTGGTCAACCATGGAGCTACCCCCTATCTTTTCTTAGTCAATCTTTCATTTTGCCTTTCTAGCCCACAAAAGGACCCTGCTTGGAAACCTAACTCTCTCTTCATTTGGAAAGTGTGGACAGCACTGACGAGGCCTTGGTGTGCGGATTAAGTGAGACATGCGTGCGTCACCTGCACAGATTTGACGGCTCCTACTGCACAGCCTTGGAGGATCTGGAAGTAGAAGAGGAGACCCACGGGAGGGAGGTAAAGGCACAAGGCCAAGCCACAATGTGCTGAGCAGAGCTGTGACCTGGACTGCCACGAAGGGCACTGCTGGATGGAAGATAGCTTCCTCCAGTGTCTTACCATGAAACTGAGGTTCAACCTGACAGTGGGAAGAGGACACAGCAGCTACAAATGCAGACTGACTTGCGGATTCAATGGTGGAAAGTGGAAGCAGCACCTGGCTTCTTGCACGTAAGATCCCCAGAATAATTGCCACTCCCATTTCTTTAGGTACAGATTACTCTTTGAAATAAATTCATGGACTGTATGCTGAAGATTTTAGATAGAGGAAAAACAGTCACCTCTTCTGGGTATTCTTGGTGCTGATGGGAAAAGGGGATGGGTTCCTAAATCTAATTTGTTATCTTTTGCACAACTTAAAACTGCCAAAACACTGGATTTTTAAAAAAAATCCCTTAAAAGCAGTTAAAGGAATAAGACAACTTATACAGAATCGAGATAGATTATCATGTTCAGAATCAACTAAAAATGAAAATCGAAGAAATTCTAAACCAGTTGAGTCCTGAGCAAGAGCACAGACAAAGCCCAACAGCAGCTTCTAAAATATTGTTCAAAATTTGCAATATTCTTCTGTGGGAGGCTGCGCATCAGCAAATATCACCCTTAGGTTTCGGTTTCTCAGCAAACAATTACACAATGCCAAGGCCCATGATTGGCTCCCCTTCAAAACCTCACCTTCAAAACCATACTCTGATTGGCCACTTCCCATAGCAAATCGGTGAGCTTAGAATCCCTCAGATTTGCATATCTGGCACCTCATGATTGGTCCACAAAAGCAACCAATAATAACCCACCTTTTACATATAGAACAACCAATCACCACCCACCAACATGTATATAACCACGATCCCTGGCCCACAATCTCCGGATGACCCTGAAGAGTTGTAACACTGTGTAGTCTCCCAGACAACCTTGAAGCGTTGTAACACTGCATCATCTCCCAGATGACCTTGAAGAGCTGTAACACTGCGTCGTCTCTGTGCTGCCCACAATAAATGGACGATCCTGAAGAGTTGTAACACTGCGCCGTTTGTCCCATCTCTCACTCCTTCCCTCAGGAAACCTGCTCGACTGTCCTGTGCGCCGGGACACTCTTCTTCTGAATACTCCTGGCTGCAACTCGAAGATTGAGGCTGCTGCCATTAAACTTAACATCACTGGCTATTTGGTCAAGGTCTAAGAGTGGACTGTTAGCAGACTCTGGAACCAATTCCTGGTATTGCTAGGAGGGGTGTTCTAGCTGGAGCCTCTGTGTGGCCTACCCACCCTCTCAGAGGGCTGCCCAGTGTCTGTCTGCTGCCGTGGTGCTTCACATGGCCACCACATTTACACCTGCCACCTGCACGACTCACAGCCTAGGTGGCTGGGCCACAAGGGCAGACCCTGCACTACAAGGAGAGCAGACACAATAAGCCCCTGGCATTTCTGCAGTGAGCAGCAAGGAGTTCCCCAGACACGGAACGAGGCTGCAGTTTAAGATGACTGAGACTTCTCACTATGACACTGAATACATTCAGATGATGAAAGAAACTCAGGGTGCTGAGGAGTTGAGATGGGTTTTCGAAAGGGTCCTAAAAGTCCTATCTGCAGACAGCTATACAGAATATTTCATAGCTACCAAAATAAAAAACTGTAATTTTACCTTGTAATAACGGAAATAGTCTCGCTCTTGCAATTTTTTTATCTTGGGGAAAATTTTGTAGGTGTTGAACTTATCGATGCTGTCAATGTCACACAAGCAGTCGTCCAGAACTCCAGTGACCTAGAATCGACATGTGTGTGTGTAAGTTACTGAGGCTTCAGCCATAGCAAACCTGTGTTCTTACATAAAATGATAACTTGTTCTTTCAGGTTAGCTGGCATTTGCTGACTGGTATACATAATGTAAAAGTGGGCACTCTTTGGTGTGGCCCATGAAACAAGAAAAGAAAGATCAGCTATACCCACTCTGAAGTTTTGTTTTGTGCTCAAAAAGATACTGAATTTTAACACTGCTGTAGCATCTGGATCTTTTTTTAAAAAAAAAGAATTATTTATTATCATTCTTTTTCGATTTTGACCAGAATGAGAGAGAGAAAGAGCACAAGCCACCAGCTCCAGGATTCGAACCATGGTCAGTCATGTGGGAGTCCAGCACATTTAACCACCACGCCACCCGCTGGCCCCCCAGTACCTGAATCTTTTTTGTTGGCCACCACTTAGGAAACACTTACGTGACAGGTACAGTGCTAAGAGATTTACGTGTTGTCCCGTTTAAGCTTTAAAAGTACCGAATGCATAAGGTATTTTGTCCTTATGTTACATATAAGGAACTTAAGGTTTAGCAAGCTTAAAATAATTCTCCCAAAGCAGAAATGGGGCGTACTCTAAAATATATCAGACTTCAAAATCCATGCTCCTATCTGCTACTCAAGGTACACATTAATTCAACAAGAGAAGTTGATATTTATGAAGCGAATTCAGAGTCCAAAAATGACATAAAATGCCAAAAAAAAAAAAAAGACATTTTCGAGTCTAATTAAAAATGAGGCTCATTGGGGAACCAGCAGTTAGCGTAATGGCTATGTCGCTGGACTCCCACATAGTCGACCGCGGTTCGTGTCCCGGACCCGGTGGCTTAAAACTCAAGCCGGGCGCGTGTGCGTGCGTGCCCAAGATCCCGAGAGGAGAATGGAGGAGAAGGGATTGCGGCGTGACCATCCCCCCGCATCATCTCCCAGATGACCTTGAAGAGCTGTAACACTGCGTCGTCTCTGTGCTGCCCACAATAAATGGACGATCCTGAAGAGTTGTAACACTGCGCCGTTTGTCCCATCTCTCACTCCTTCCCTCAGGAAACCTGCTCGACTGTCCTGTGCGCCGGGACACTCTTCTTCTGAATACTCCTGGCTGCAACTCGAAGATTGAGGCTGCTGCCATTAAACTTAACATCACTGGCTATTTGGTCAAGGTCTAAGAGTGGACTGTTAGCAGACTCTGGAACCAATTCCTGGTATTGCTAGGAGGGGTGTTCTAGCTGGAGCCTCTGTGTGGCCTACCCACCCTCTCAGAGGGCTGCCCAGTGTCTGTCTGCTGCCGTGGTGCTTCACATGGCCACCACATTTACACCTGCCACCTGCACGACTCACAGCCTAGGTGGCTGGGCCACAAGGGCAGACCCTGCACTACAAGGAGAGCAGACACAATAAGCCCCTGGCATTTCTGCAGTGAGCAGCAAGGAGTTCCCCAGACACGGAACGAGGCTGCAGTTTAAGATGACTGAGACTTCTCACTATGACACTGAATACATTCAGATGATGAAAGAAACTCAGGGTGCTGAGGAGTTGAGATGGGTTTTCGAAAGGGTCCTAAAAGTCCTATCTGCAGACAGCTATACAGAATATTTCATAGCTACCAAAATAAAAAACTGTAATTTTACCTTGTAATAACGGAAATAGTCTCGCTCTTGCAATTTTTTTATCTTGGGGAAAATTTTGTAGGTGTTGAACTTATCGATGCTGTCAATGTCACACAAGCAGTCGTCCAGAACTCCAGTGACCTAGAATCGACATGTGTGTGTGTAAGTTACTGAGGCTTCAGCCATAGCAAACCTGTGTTCTTACATAAAATGATAACTTGTTCTTTCAGGTTAGCTGGCATTTGCTGACTGGTATACATAATGTAAAAGTGGGCACTCTTTGGTGTGGCCCATGAAACAAGAAAAGAAAGATCAGCTATACCCACTCTGAAGTTTTGTTTTGTGCTCAAAAAGATACTGAATTTTAACACTGCTGTAGCATCTGGATCTTTTTTTAAAAAAAAAGAATTATTTATTATCATTCTTTTTCGATTTTGACCAGAATGAGAGAGAGAAAGAGCACAAGCCACCAGCTCCAGGATTCGAACCATGGTCAGTCATGTGGGAGTCCAGCACATTTAACCACCACGCCACCCGCTGGCCCCCCAGTACCTGAATCTTTTTTGTTGGCCACCACTTAGGAAACACTTACGTGACAGGTACAGTGCTAAGAGATTTACGTGTTGTCCCGTTTAAGCTTTAAAAGTACCGAATGCATAAGGTATTTTGTCCTTATGTTACATATAAGGAACTTAAGGTTTAGCAAGCTTAAAATAATTCTCCCAAAGCAGAAATGGGGCGTACTCTAAAATATATCAGACTTCAAAATCCATGCTCCTATCTGCTACTCAAGGTACACATTAATTCAACAAGAGAAGTTGATATTTATGAAGCGAATTCAGAGTCCAAAAATGACATAAAATGCCAAAAAAAAAAAAAAAGACATTTTCGAGTCTAATTAAAAATGAGGCTCATTGGGGAACCAGCAGTTAGCGTAATGGCTATGTCGCTGGACTCCCACATAGTCGACCGCGGTTCGTGTCCCGGACCCGGTGGCTTAAAACTCAAGCCGGGCGCGTGTGCGTGCGTGCCCAAGATCCCGAGAGGAGAATGGAGGAGAAGGGATTGCGGCGTGACCATCCCCCCTGGGGGTGATTTCTCGCTTTCTGTCTCTCTGTCTGTCTCTGTCTGTCTGGCGAGCGCACGCGCCATACAGTGAAAATCTCTCAAAAAAAAAAAAAAAATGAGGCTCATTGGTTGAGACACTCAACCTGGATCAATTTTTCAGGAATTACCCTGAAAATAGCCAATCCCAAAAGATTACATTCTGTATGATTCCATCTATAGAATATTTTATAAATGAAAAACATTTAGAAAGAATAAATTGCTGGTTGCCAGGGTTTGAGCGGAAATGAGCAGAGGCTGAGAGATGGGGGAGAAATGGGGCAGAAGGGAGAAGCATGGGTATGAAAGGGCCACAGAAGGGACCCTCGTGCTAGACCTGATCGGCGTTTCGACTGGTGTGAGCCCGGACCTACGTGCAATCGCCCAGAGCTCACAAAAGCGGTCATGGGTTTACAGGGGTGACCGCAGAGATAGACGTGGGCTCTCTGTTACCCCTCACAACTGCGTCTGAAGGCAGAGCTATCCCAATCTAGATTTTGGGTAGAAACGAAACGGGGCTCAGGCTGTCCAAGCCCACGCAGTGGTCAGAAAACCAAACCAGTCCCTGTCCCACTGCCTCCGGAGTGTAAATGTGCCCCAAACTCCCCAGGACTGAGAGCTAGAGCTCTATCATCTGACATTTTACAAAGGAATTACCAAGCATCGGCGCCGAGACCCTGCGTGCTTTGCTGAGCCACTTACTAGGGTTCCGTCACCAACAGCTGGTTTTACTCCGCTGCTCTCACTACTCCCAGACTTCAGATTCTCACCCCTGAATGACAATGGGAGGTCTGGCCCCAAGGACTGCGGTAAAGGGATCCAGATCCCTGGGGTCTAGGAGACACGCCAAGCATGTGTGTGTGCATTCCCAAATCACAAGACGGAGACCTGGAGAAGGGCTGCACCAGGACTGCGTTCCGTCGGGGGTGCTTCCTCCTCTCTCCCCTCCTCCTGCTGACAAGCACATGCACCCTCTGGCACCAAAAAAAAAAAAAAAAAACAAAGCAAAAAAAAAAAAAAAAAAAAAAAAGCAACAACAACAAAAAAAAAACAGCAAAAACTGCTGCAAATACAAGCCGAAAAACTTGTTTTTCAAAATACTTTTTCTGGGGCCGGCTCCATAGCACAGCAAAGACATGCTGGTCAAGAGAAGCCGGCCCCCACCTCAGCCCAGCCAGCCTGAGGCGCACCTGGACATGAATGCACAGGGTCCGACAGGCCAGCAGGCTGGAGGAGGGGACGGGACAGTGACACAACTGGACCCAGGGAGGTCCTGTCCCTCTTTCCTTTCTATCATATGCATGTACCCATGTCCTACTATGAATAAAGTTTAAAAATAAACACATATTTTTCTAAAGACTGCCCTTTTTATGAATTTTCTTAAATTGTTGAGCTTTAGTTTATGAACCACCATATCTCATTTCTTAAAAATATTTTTTGAGACGTTTTTGCCGTGGAGCGCATGCGCCCGCCAGAAAGAGACAGAGAGACAGAAAGGGAGAAATCACCCCCCCAGGGGGGATGGCCACGCCGCAATCCCTTCTTCTCCATTCTCCTCTTGGGACCTTGGGCACATACACACATGCGCCCGCCTGAGTTTAAGCCACTGGGTCCGGGACTCGAACTGCAGTCAACTACATGGGAGTCCAGCGACATAGCCATTACAGCAACTGCTGGTCCCTTCTTTTAAATATTTTAATTGTGGTAGGGGAGAGGTGAACATATACAAAAACCACATACTAGGGATCTTCAACAGTCTATGGGAAAATGAGTATTATGAAAAAATGAGGCATGGATTTCAAAATTTTTCCAGAAACCTTTTCGAGTCCCCTTGTATTTGTAACTTTTAAAGACTACAGTAATATTGTGTGTCACTAAAAATTCACAATCAAAAATGAGGTTCAGCCACAGTGGTGAGCACTGGTAACATGGCTACTCAGAAGGCTGAAGCCATAAGGGAGGCCCAGGTTCGATTTCCAGCCCGCCAAAGGAGCCAGGTGCCAACATGTACCTACAATCCCAGGTACTGGGGAGGCTGGAGCAGGAGTAACTCGACATAGTGAGATCCCGCGAGAGCAAGCGAGCAAGGAAGAGAAAACACTGCCAGGATACTTTCATGTTCCTTCTAAATTTCTGTTATTAATTTTACTTTTATTTGTAATACATCCCTAAACAATATACTCAGGCATTTCTTGCCTGTTTTCAAACTTTTACGATTAATGCCATGTAATGTGTGAATGCTTCTATAGTGAGCTCCTTCTATGAACATTTTGTTTTGGCATCTTTTTTTAAGATTTAATTTTATTATTATTGTTATTATCAAATTTGCTTTAAAGCATGTATGCTTACTAGAGAGGCAGAGAAAGTGAAAAAGCAAAGCAGCAGGTCCAGGACTTGCATCACTGTCAGCCACGTGGGAGTGCAGCGCCTTAGCCACTACGCCACCTGCTGCCCACCAGCTTTCCTTGACGAGTTGCACAGTTCATTCATTCTTCCTGCTGGAATGCTGCGCTGTAGGAAAGTGTCACGCTTATTGTCGATCCATATAGTACTCAGGGTAACATACCCCCTCACGATGTTCACACCCAAATTCCTGGAACCTTGGAATGTTACTTTGCATGGCAAAGAGATTTTAATGCTGTAAGGTATGGATCTTGAGATGTAAAGACTGTGTTAGATTGCTCAAGTGGGACCAATGGAGTGACAAGTTTCCTTATAAGTGACAGGAATGGGATCCAGCTGCCTTAACCACCATGCCACCACTGGCCCATCTTTGAGGTTTTAAAGGTACTTTTTTAAAACCATGATTATCTCACAAACATCAAAACATTCACAATTCTGTGGCCTTTAAATATATACTTGAAATATGAAAAGAAAGTACAAGTGGGCTTTCACCATTACTTAGAAATTCTAATCTTTTAAACTGTAAAATACAACGCAGAGAAAAAAAATTCCTCCTATATAAACGAACAATGTATCAAGAGCTCGGGGGTGGAGAAAAAGAGAGAGACAGGAGTGTCAGAGTCAGAGAGAGACTGGAAACTGCCACACCGGTCGCTTTGCCAGTGCAGGAAGTCACCACGGAAAGATCACAGCAGCTCTGGACGGCCTGCGGCTGAGGGAGCCAAATCCCACGCGGCTGTGGTTCCAATCTCAGCTGTGGCAGTCGGGTGCATGTTAAGATAGAGGTGTAACCACGTGCCACTGGGGAGTGCTCCCACTACCACCACCACAAGTGTGTGTGCCCTGACAATTGAAAAAAGAGAAAGAAAATCATTGGATACATGGATGCAGAGCTGGAAGAATGCTATTCTGGAGACTCTGAGGGTCTGCTCTCTAGCTACGTTTAAAGACAAGAAACTCAACGAGATGACCAAGATGAGTATGGTCAGGGGCAGAGGAGGAACAAGCAAAGGGAACGAACAAAGGCTGGCCCGTGAGGCAGTCAGAAGGCCAGAGGGGTACAGGGTCCTGGAAACCAAAGGAGGAAGTCTCTCCAGGAGAGTACGCGACAAACTGAAACAGTGCTGCCGACTGCTGCAGCTGAGGCTTAAGAACTAATCAGTGGTCTTAGCAGCGAGGAGGACATCGGTGACCTTGGCAAGAACAGTTTCATAGTAGTAGGGGCAAAAATCTGACCGGAGCAGGCTGAGGAGGACAAGGACAAGACGAACCAAATAAAAAAAAATTTTTGAGTTTTTCTAGAGAGGGACCAGAAAAAGTGGGACCGGACAGATGGGATGGATGGCTCTAGAAAGAACAGTCATTACCATGACGATGGTAATGGTTCCTAGAGAAGGAAACAGGGTTCTGGAGCCACACCACGAGAGGGAAAGGGGGAAGGGGACCTGGCCTCCGAGTAGGGACTGCCTGGGAACGGCGGGACAGTGCACCTGCAGCAAGCAGCAGGGACTCTGCACACCGTCAGTGGGCGGGGGACTCTACGAAAGCGCTCTCCTGATAGCTCCAATTCTGTCAGTGACCCATGAAGCTGAGAGTGAGGCAGGGAGAGAAGGTAGCGCCGGATTAAATAGAAAAAAGACATGAAATCGCTTCTACTTCAATAATCAGTTGTTCAGCTGGGTGTAGTCAGCAATTTAAGCCATCCACTGACTTTTTTTAAAAAAAGAATTACTTATTTAATTTTATTAATTAATTCATTCATTCATTTTTTAATTTGACCAGAGGGAGACAGAGAGAAAGACAGAGAAAGTGAGAAAGCAAGCCACCAGGTCCAGGACTCGAACCATGGTTGGCCATGTGGGAGTATCCAGCACCTTAATCACCACGCCACCTGCTGGCCCCCATCCATTGAGTTTATTTCATTTCTGGAACATCCATTTCGTTATTTAAAATCTTTTTGGTAATTCTTTAAAATCCCTTGTTCCCTTTTCATATCTTCTAACTTTTTCCATTTAAACTCATTAAACACAGTAATATGAAATTATCTACAGGTTGAGCATCCCTAATCAAAAAACCTACAATTCTCCAAAATCCAAGCAGTTTTGAGTGCACTCATGACACAATTGAAAAATTCCATGCCTGTCCTAACCATTTCATGTGTAAATCATTAACAATATTGTATAAAACTACCTTTGAGCCCTATATATAAAATGAACATGAAATAGAAATAAATCTCGGATTTAGACTGGGTTTATTCCTTCAGATATAGCATTATGTACCTGCAAATATTATAAACCCCCCAAAAATCTGAAGTTTGAAATACTTCTGCTCCCCAGCATTTTGGGTAAGGGATACTCAAATTACATGTGGTAATTTCAAAGTCTACAGTCATTACATGTCTGTTCCTGCTGTCTCCAGTATCTGACCCAGGTGCCCCGTTAGAGCCCATCTGTGAACTCTCCTGTTGTTAGAGGGTGCTGGCATTTGCCAGAGAGACAGAAGAGGAGGGTGAGGAGAAAGCACCCTTCGGGGAGCAGGATCACGCCACAATCTCTCCTCCTTTAAGGATTTTGGGCCCACGTGAACCTTGTGTGTTTCTCAGGCCGCTAGGTTAGGGACTCAAGCGGGTCAGCCATGTGGAATCTGGCTGTTTTACCCACCATGCCACAGAGCTGGACCTTGTGGATTTTTTTTTAAAGTATTAGTGGGTGTGGTGGTTAAGTGGACTCCCACGTAGCCAACCATGGTTTGAGTCTCAGACCTGGTGGCTTGAAAGGTGAGAGTTCAGCACGTGTGCACATGTGCCCAAAATCCCAAGAGAAGAATGGAGAAGAGAGGACTGTGGTATGGCCACAGCCCCAAGGGGGCTGACTTCTCACTCTCCCCCTCTTCTCTCCAGCAGGGACACGCACCCTATGGCGATTTTATTAATTAATTCATTCATTCATTTTTTAATTTGACCAGAGGGAGACAGAGAGAAAGACAGAGAAAGTGAGAAAGCAAGCCACCAGGTCCAGGACTCGAACCATGGTTGGCCATGTGGGAGTATCCAGCACCTTAATCACCACGCCACCTGCTGGCCCCCATCCATTGAGTTTATTTCATTTCTGGAACATCCATTTCGTTATTTAAAATCTTTTTGGTAATTCTTTAAAATCCCTTGTTCCCTTTTCATATCTTCTAACTTTTTCCATTTAAACTCATTAAACACAGTAATATGAAATTATCTACAGGTTGAGCATCCCTAATCAAAAAACCTACAATTCTCCAAAATCCAAGCAGTTTTGAGTGCACTCATGACACAATTGAAAAATTCCATGCCTGTCCTAACCATTTCATGTGTAAATCATTAACAATATTGTATAAAACTACCTTTGAGCCCTATATATAAAATGAACATGAAATAGAAATAAATCTCGGATTTAGACTGGGTTTATTCCTTCAGATATAGCATTATGTACCTGCAAATATTATAAACCCCCCAAAAATCTGAAGTTTGAAATACTTCTGCTCCCCAGCATTTTGGGTAAGGGATACTCAAATTACATGTGGTAATTTCAAAGTCTACAGTCATTACATGTCTGTTCCTGCTGTCTCCAGTATCTGACCCAGGTGCCCCGTTAGAGCCCATCTGTGAACTCTCCTGTTGTTAGAGGGTGCTGGCATTTGCCAGAGAGACAGAAGAGGAGGGTGAGGAGAAAGCACCCTTCGGGGAGCAGGATCACGCCACAATCTCTCCTCCTTTAAGGATTTTGGGCCCACGTGAACCTTGTGTGTTTCTCAGGCCGCTAGGTTAGGGACTCAAGCGGGTCAGCCATGTGGAATCTGGCTGTTTTACCCACCATGCCACAGAGCTGGACCTTGTGGATTTTTTTTTAAAGTATTAGTGGGTGTGGTGGTTAAGTGGACTCCCACGTAGCCAACCATGGTTTGAGTCTCAGACCTGGTGGCTTGAAAGGTGAGAGTTCAGCACGTGTGCACATGTGCCCAAAATCCCAAGAGAAGAATGGAGAAGAGAGGACTGTGGTATGGCCACAGCCCCAAGGGGGCTGACTTCTCACTCTCCCCCTCTTCTCTCCAGCAGGGACACGCACCCTATGGCGAAAATCTAAATTAATTAATTAAAACTGTTAGCTCTTTATTCTTCTTGGCACTTTATCTTTGAGCATTTATTAGGGCTTGAGCTGAAAATAAATCCCTCCCATGGATATTGCTCTTACCAGTTACCTGAGAATAAGAACACAGGACTGCTATAAACTAAACTTTCCTACTTGAAGCTTTTCCCAGCACAAGGAACCTGAATTTGACTTGCAAATCCATATAAGGGCTGGCTCAGGGTTATACATTCTCAAGGGGTTTTCTCTCCCTCCCTGGCCAATGTCTTCACTTCCCCTTACCCACAGAGGGGCTAACTGAGGAAGAGGCTCTTTGTGCTCCAGGCTGTGCGCGGAGGTCTCCGACAGCTTCCTCTCCGGGCAGACAGTGATCTCTTGCCCACTCCACCCCATGCAGCTACTAAGCAGACCCTCGGGACCCCTAGGGCACAGCACTAACCTTTCCATGTGTCAGGAGCTCGGAGTATTCCATGACCTCTGTGCTACTTCAGAAATGCATTTGAAATGATTTAAAATATATCCAATTAAAATGACTTCTTTTTACCGTTCTATCACTTGTCCTAGGCCTTTAGTTCCTAGTGCTTCGCCAGACTATAAAGCGTATTTGCATCTCATTTATAATAGGACGTGAGATATATAAACACATGTCATTCTTATGTATTCAAAAATATTTTTTTTTTGGAGAGGTTTTCGCTATAGGGCGCGTGTGCTCACCAGACAGACGGAGAGAGACATAGAGACAGAAAGCGAGAAATCACCCCCCAGGGGGGATGGTCACGCCGCAATCCCTTCTCTTCCATTCTCCTCTCCGGATCTTGGTCACGCACGCACACGCGCCCGGCATGAGTTTTAAGCTACCGGGTCCGGGACGCGAACCGCGGTCGACTACGTGGGAGTCCAGCGACATAGCCATTACGCTAACTGCTGGTTCCCTTCAAAAATATTTTTCTGGGTTGGCCCCATAGCCTAGTTAAAGGAGCCAGGTCCCACTTGGTCAACAGCAAATCCTGGTCCTGATGGCTTGAAAAACATGCTGGTGTGTGTGACCCAAATTCCCACAGGATGAAGAAAGAAACGGGACTGCAGTGTGACCACGCCCCATGGGAGGGTTCACTTTCTTACTCTGTCTCTTGTACACACGCCCATACCCTCTGGCAAGTGGAAAAAAAAAACCCTGCTTTACTATAAGGTGATATATTTAAAAATAAAAAAAAATAAATTAAAAAAATAAAAAATAACAGCCACCTCTTTAAATGATTCTGGGGCCAGCAGGTGGAGCAGTGGTTAAGGTGCTGGACTCCCACTTGGCCAGCTGTCCCCTTGGAATGCTTTCTCACTTCCCTCTCATCGTCTCTATCTGGTGAGTGCACTTGCCCTATGGCAAAAACCTAAAAACAAAATAAAATTTTTAAAAACCTGATTTCTTGTGAATAGAAGTATTTTTCAGAAATTTTAATTCTTCCTTTTATCTTTACTGTTTTCCTACCAATTTAGTATACAAAAGAGAAGTGAAAGAACCTAGTTCTACTCTGGCTTCTCTGACCTCCGCCTTCCCAGCTGCAGAGAAGCCACAGCACTGCTATGCTGTAGAGCAGAGAGGGGCCTGCGGGAGGACTCCAGCTGAAGGTCACTCACGTCTCGCGTCACTTAAGCTCTCTGGACTTTGGCTACTTCCGTAGTCCTGCTTCTGAGAGACGTGTCAAATACAATTACGTAATGTTTATTTACATGTTACAGATTCAAATACTACCTAAAATACACTCAAGTACTGGATTAGTGCTGAAAACATAGCAACATTTAACAAATATGGCCTAATGGTGCTTTGAATATGCACAAATCTTTAACTACTGAACTATATATATTCATTGAATAGAATGAAATGAGAAATACAGGGACCAGCAGTTGGCGTAATGGCTATGTCGCTGGACTCCCACATAGTCGACTGCGGTTCGCGTCCCGGACCCGGTGGCTTTCATGTCGGGCGTGTGTGCGTGGGTTCCCAAGATCCCAAGAGGAGAATGGAGGAGAAGGGATTGCGGTGTGGTCATCCCCCCTGGGGGGGTGATTTCTCGCTTTCTGTCTCTCTGTTTCTCTCGTCTTTCCGGTGAGCGCACGTGCCCTATAGCAAAAACCTCTCCAACAACAACACAAAGAATGAAATGAGCAGTACAGGTTCAATTACAAAATAATTATTATTAATAACTGTACATGGAAAAACTAAAATGAAGTTTCTACATGTGATAAAATATACAATTAACATAAAAAGTATAAAAAGGAAGAATGAAATCTCATTTTAGAAAAACATCTAGATTCCACTCAGAAAACATTCGGCTAGTAAACAAAATTATTTTGCCAAAGACAATGGGGAAACTTTACTCTCCCTAATTCTATCCTGATAGACAGGCCGGATCTCCAGTCTCCATCAATAGTTCAGCGTTTTCCAAGAGGGTTGGACAGGTAGGTCAAAGGCCAAGCGCATTACATACTGCCGGGCTGATTCCAGATCCGCTCAATCGGCATATCCGGAGGTAGGCCAGAGAATCTGCATTTTAAGGTATCCCCCAAAACAAACGTTTGCTTTGTATCAAATCATTCATTTAAAAAACTTAAAACATGAACGAAAACGGGCTATTTGGGCATTCTGAGATTCAGTGCGCGACAAAACCGTGCAAAGGGGAACTGGAAAAGTCAGAAAGACATGTTTACACGGTTACCCTCGGCTACCTCCTATTTTCTTAGCAAGGAGCATTAATTGCTGCGGGCGACAGCGCCCCTCATTACCAGGCCACCTGGGACCTTTTTTTGGCTCAGTGCAGCAGGTGCAGCCGAGACAGCAACACCTGGCAACGCCTGGCTCAGGTGCGAGCACCGCGGGGCAGACGCCTCCCTGAGGCCAGCCCGGCAGCGGCGGCACCTCCCGCACGCCCGGCACCTCCGCGGACCGGCTCACCAAGGCCGCC